AATTTCAGACATTGCTTCAGAGTTTTTCCCTCCATCTAAATGCTCTGCCTTCTCTTCCTTCTTATTGTGACCCTACACAACTGCGCAGTTTTCTTGCTTGTAGAGACTTCATGAGAATAATCTTAATAAAAAACAGTATGCAGCATAGTTCCATAAATTGCCTCACGAATCTGAAATTCCTGAAGCTATAACTCTGTCAACTAAAATAGTTTAAACCTAAATCTCAATATGAAAAATCATTTAAAGCCAAATTGACTTCAGCAGAACCTCTTTGTAAACAGCCTTAAGTACGCATGGGTTCTGATACCAGTGCCAAAATGTTATTCCCTCCACCTAACGAAGGCTCCGGCTTTCTGTTTCATTTTATTTTTCATATGTATACAATAATATATTATTACTCCTCCCCTAAATTTTCAATATGAAAGGCATCAAAAGTAATAAAGAGCAAGGCAACCTGCTGTCTAGTCCCCTTGAGCTGCATCTGAGCTGTGGTGTGTTTCATTAATAGAGCTAACGTGGGCTCTCAGCCAGGACAGGAGAAGAATATGACTAAAGGAAACACTCCATGAGCTAGGACAGAGGATTATGGGTTCGAGGCCAGCATGGGTGACATGGTGAGACTCCATTGCCACACAGAAAACATGAAAGGTATAGAGAAAGATTGGGGACGGGAAGAATGCCCTATAACCTGACTTCAAACAAAGAATGTAATTCCCTTGCCAGCAACATGAAAAAACTATGAGCTCATAGCGTTGAGTGAATAAGACAAGCGTGGTCCTCCTGCCTATTTCTCCACGTCGCCTTCTACTGGGACACTGCACTTGGTAGTTTACACAGTATCTATGGCTGCTTTCAGGCTTCAGTGGAAGTGCTGGGGATATAGCTCCACATCTGCTGAGCACACCCTAGAACCCAGGTTCAGTTCCCAGGACCAAGTACAAATAAATAATAAAGAGCGTCTCTCGGGCACAGAAACCCCAGAGTTTTGCTATCTGGCCATTTACAGAAAAATCTGCCCTGTGCCTGTAGGCTTTAATGAGGTTCATGGGTTTCCTCACGGAGACAGGAGTCCTAGAGAAAACTGATTTACTAGCATCTTGCTATTATTTCCTTTAGGAGCAGGGGGAGGTTTGTAATCTCACCCTCAATGTGTTAAAGAACTGCACAATTCTCCTGAAAATCATTTGAAATACTGACAAAAGAAGTTATGACATTTTCCTAACCAACAGGGCTTGTGTGCTCAAGTTTATGGTTGAAGGTGCACACTTTAATAAAACCTTTGCTAGAGACCTAAGAAAAGAGATGACAGATAGATTCTGGAAACCTGGGCATGAGCTTATGGCTGAAGTGGGGTAGCCAAGGCCATGATCTGAAACATGGAGCAAGAGACAGCAAGCAATGTCTTAGCTAGGATTTCTACAGCCATGAAGAGACACCATGACCACAGCAACTCCTATAAAGAAGAACATTTAACTGAGGAGGTGGCTCACAGTTACAGAGCTTCAGTCCATTATCATCCTGGTGGGACATGGCTTCATGCAGGCAGGCATGATGCTGGAGAGGTGGCTGAGAGTTCTGCATTTGCAGACAACAGGAAGTGAACTGAGACACTAGGTGGCACCTTGAGCATATAGGAGACCTAAAAGCCTGCTCCCTCAGTGACACACTTCCTCCAACAACACCATATCCACTCCGACAAGGCCACACCTCCTAATAGTGCCACTCTCTTTGGGGGCCATTTTCTTTCAATCCACCACAGCCAGCATGATGGAAATGGCATAAATATGTCACAGATTAGTCCCCACCTGGTCAGAGGCAGAGGCCAACAGGCCACACTCCTGAGAACCCCATCACGCATTATTACTATACACACTTGACAGGAGAAACAATTTCTAGCAGGAATAATTAACCCATCACCTTAGATGTCAGTATTTACTAAAACTCATTTTGGCCACCGTAGAATCCACCCAGGATCCCCAGTAATATATAGATTCCCGGGGACTGCACCCTTCACACTCCTGGGCAAGCTGATGTCATTGGAAACTATGCTTTCACTGACACCCTCTTCTTTACACCGCAGGTCCAGTAAAGGACAGTGAGTCACCTTTGAAATCCCAGGGACTCTGTAGCAGCTGCCTCAGGGCAGGACTGTCTGCACTAGATGAGAAGATAAGGAATGTCAATTAAGGTTTGGGAATTCAAACCCTAGGTGTAGTTCTCTGATCCTCGCCCACAGACTACCACGAAAACCAGTGCTATTTTTAATGATAACATTCAGATTCTCTCTGGAGTGTGTAGAGCATCATCACGTTATCCCGAGGTAGAGTTACCTTAATAATTAATAAGCACAGTGTTTATCCCACTCAGAGAATAAGACATGTGACCTGCAGACGGGAAACAGAGGCCCGTGTTGTTCAGTGATACTCTCCTGATTGAACAAGTTGGGGCTAAATGAAGTCAAGCTGACTTAGAATCCAGTGTCCTTCTTCCTGGTGTCATGTGACCTCCCAGCAGTCTGTGAAGACAAACTTCTCTAAACTGCTGAAGCTGTGAACTGACAAGTTCACTCAAGTTCACGTATTGACGATCACTCTCATTGACCAGCCTGCATTTAGAGATGTAGGAGGTAACTAGGGTTTGTTGAGGTCTTCAGGGTGAGGCCCTGATGTGACAGAATTCGTGTCCTGCTAAGAAATAGCACATGAGACCCCTCTCTTTCCACCATCAAGGTTACAGCCAGCAGGCCCAGGAGGAGAGCTGTTGCCACTTGAATGTGAAATATCCCATATAGATTCTTGTGTTGGGACGCCTCATTTACACATAGTGGCACTGTTCAGGAAGATACGATGGACATTTAGAGGGTGGAAGCTGGCTACAGGAAGCGGCTCGCCGGGGGAGGACTTTGAGGTTTTATAAGCTGGCCCCACTTCCTGCTCACTCTGCTCCCTGTGTTGATGCAGGGTGATTGGCGGCTTCTCATCCTTCCTGCCTTGCTTTCCCACCTTGATAGCCTTGCGTTCTAAGCCACTTTCTCCCTTCCTGCTGCTTCTCCTCAGGTGTACTGGTCACACAGACGAGAAAAACTAACACAAAAGCCTCATCTGATGCTAACTGTACCAGCATTTGGACCTTAAGCTGACAGACCCCCTGCCCAGAACAGGGGCGCTATTTTAAGCTAACAAGTCAGTCGGGTGTTTCTGTAAAAATCTGAGCAAGCTAAGATACATTAATAAAATCCAACAGATGAATGAAAAAATTCTGGAAGAATCTAAATCCAAAAAAACTACCCAAAAGTGAAAGCACATTTCCTTTTATGAAGGATCCTAAATCATCTACCTAAGACACACGGCTCTGAGGAGAGACGGCGAGCTTGTCGTGTGAGTTGAGGGCCTCCAAAGTAGATGCCTTGTTGGAGGTCAGCACTAGGAAACCAGTGTTGCTGCTCTGTAAACCTTCCCAGCTGACTTTAATGAACGGCGCTTGAGGAAGAAAAAGCAACCTTAACAGAGGAACTAGCCTGGTAGTGTCAGCTAGGCCTGGCTGTGCGCTGTCAGACAGAGCTGTTCCATGGAACACCAGCATCAGACAGGGTCCCCTGCGACTGTAATGGATCCGGACCAAGCCAATATAACCTATAGGCATGTCTGAGCACAGACAGAATACCCAGGGTCCTCTTTGCTGTCTGCCACAAATGACTGCAGCTGATTGACCAATAAACAGTGTCTAGTCTGCCTTCCCTACGGTTAAGTGCTTTGAGTCCCCAAAGATAGAATCACCCTTTCTTCCTGACAGGATCGACCCAGAGTGAAAATCCCATGCTTGTTTCTTCAAACCATCTGGAACAGACCCAAAGCTGAGCAGTCTTCTCTAATGTTTCCTGGCCAAGAGTCTCCCACCTCTCTGCACTCTTTCCCTGTAAGATGTGATAACCCAATGTGTTCGTCTGGGGCAGAAGTAAACAGCTGCTGTATGTTCCAAGCCCTCAGTGGATGCCTGAACTGAGGTATTTGTTAGGTAATAACAACCTCATATGTAGCATGTATTTCCTCTACATGCATACCTATGATGAATATCACCCGGGAATAGTAAGAGATTAACAAACTAATAGGATGATATAAAACAATTGCATACTATAATAAAATTGATATGACCATATTCATCTTTTCTCTCCTCCAGACCATGGTAGGCCTGCATTGTAGCTGTGTTCACAGAGGACCACCTCTTGGGGAAACACATTGTGATGTGCAGCTGCATACCGTGGCCCTGTCTGACCCCGTCCCCATTGGAGCTGTCTCCAGAGAACTCCTGGAGAAACTTCTCTTTAAGAACCCATGTAGCTTGGGGTTTTGAAGATAATAACCCATTGCCAAACATTGCCAAAATCCCTGTTTGAAAGTGAGACTGAAATCAGATTTCTCAAAGTGAATCATTGCGCGTGGGATGTTAAAGAGCCCTAAGGACCCCGAGTAGCCAATGCCAGCTCTTTCTAATGGCTGTCTTCTCTTCCCATAGAAGGATGAAGTCAAACAGTACGTGATTCGAAATCTAGGTTTCATATCACCACCATGATTGAAGCATTTTGGTTCTCATCAAGCCAGCATTCCTTGTCCCCCTTCTTTTGTCTAGCCATGCCTTTGTTGTCTATAGGCAACAAGCTAACAGCCATTTGTGGGCAGTTAACATTTTCAATACCACTCATTTGCCGGTAAAACGTGATTTACAATTGTGCTAATTTATGGTACGCATTTTTGTTCTATGATTGACAGAACTCTGCTAATTGTACACTACCTTCTAGACCGTAAACTCCTAGTTAAGCTCATCTAAACCCAACCATCCCTACAGGATGGGCTTCTGAGGAGGGGCTTCACGTGCCTTCCAGCCACGCTTCCCCTGCGGACTAAAATCAGTGGTTATGTACACCAAACCTTCACTGCACTGGGAACCCAATGAGGCCAACAGATTACGGAGGAGTTCCATCTGGTCTGAGTCTCTGAACGTACCACAAACACAGGGTCATTGGCGGCGGAGTGTGGCGAAGCATTCGTTCCATTCAGGAAGGAGTGGACCAGATTATGAAGGCTCATGACTTGAGAGTCCAGAGTGCCGTCTGCTTTATCAAAACCTTCCAGAGCATTCCTGAGAGAAACCAAAGCGTCAGTGACTTCAGTAAGGACTGGCACAGGACTCTGTGCTATCTCGCCATCTTCTAGTCTGACTCTGCAGCTGCCTGGCTGAGGGTTCTTTCCTTTACCCTTTTGTAAGGATCTCCCGGAAGGGGAAGGAACTCAGTCAATGCTGCCCTGCCCCTGCTTGGTTACATTGCTTTCTTTTGTGCGCAGTATAGCTATTTATCTTTATTCTTGTTTTTTAAGCCTTGAAAGACAGCGACTATGTTTCCTTCAGATTTTTATTGCCAGGGCTTCTTATCCTGTTCAACACATGAGCTGTGTTCAATAAATGAATAAATTGAATCAACATAGATAGGATCTTGTATTCATAATTCTTGGTGAAGGAGACTTTTGGCTTAGCTGGAAGACACTTATGCTTCTAAACACACCCCAGCATTTCCCTTCTTCTTCTCTCTTTTCCATCTATATCTTCAGGAAATCTAAACATCTGCACACTGACACGGTGGTATTCAAAAGTAAGATGACCTTGGAATCACTGAAGAAAATGTTCATGACCTTTTCTTAGAGTTTCCCACCCAGTAAGGATAGGTGGGGTCCTAACAACGTTTGTTACTTATCAACTTCTAAAGAAGCCTTGATTGTGACCCAAGAACCCCATTTTAGGGGCCACTCTCAGCTCAAGTCTAGGGAGACTGCAGCCTGGCTTAAGAGCATTTTTTGTCATAAGGAAAGATGAACACACGCTTAAACATTACCCTTGACCTACTTTTTTCTTAGTTTATTTCAGACAGGGTCTCATTATGTGTCTTTGGCTGGCCTACAAGTCACTATGTAGACCAAACTGGCCTCAGACTCAGAGAGATCCATCTGGCTCTGCCTCCCCCGCATACTGGGATTAAAGGCATGCTCCACCATGGCCAGTTCTTTGCCTACTTTTGAAATAAATCTCAGGGCCACGTCCACTTCTAGTACCAGCTCCAGAGCCCTGCAATTGTGTTTGGTCTGCCCTGCGGCTAGCCCTGTGTAAGTTATGTGATTTATATGGGATGTGGTGAGTTCTAGAGAACAAGAACAAATCCGGCTTGGAGAAGGTCACGCTCCCTTCCTGGGGGGGGGGGGGGGCGGAGGCTGCTCGCTTTGTTAGAACCTTATGTGCATACACACTCTTAACTCTCACTTTTTGGGGTGAGAACCACTGCTCTCAGGTATTGTAGAAGAGGTAAGTGCCCACCTGAAGCTGAAGGTAGAGTTCTGGAAGAAAGGTGGATTGTCGAACGTCTGGAGAGACAAGCAATCTTGCACATTCTTTAAGGTTGGCAGTTTCTCGCTATTTCTTCCTACTTGGTTTCTTCTTAACAAACCTTCATAGGTTCCATTACACAGTGTGACCCGGCGGTTGTAGTCATCCAAGCTAAGATGTACAGAATTGAAAACAATATAGCTTAACTTTGTGAGTGACATCATGAATTTTTTTCCAAGCAACTCAGGAAGGGGCACAGTCATTAGTTACTTTACACAGTCAGAAACAGGCACGAAACTATGACCATTCAGAAGTCATCATGGACAGAAACACTTCAAAAATACAGTTGCCCAAAACATGAATACAGGAGTCAATGTGATAATAATTTCCATTCCGTCCAAGATAATGTGACAGTGTTTACAAGCCAGATGGTGGCAGCTGTGATTGTAACTGAGTTTGAAAGAGTTAAAGGGGTAATATAGCAGCCTCTATTACACTGAACCAAGCCAGTTTGGGAGGGATATATGTGTAGAGCTGGGGGAAGCATTTAGGCCAACTGGAGACAAACAGGAAGCCAGAAAAACAGATAAAACTATACAGATAAAATGCAGTACTGATGTAGGAGGTCCTTCTGTATATGTGCTGCTTTTATTGGTTAATGAATAAAGAAGCTGCTTTGGCCTGTGATAGGACAGAATACAGCTAGGCGGGAAAAATAAACCTAATAATGGGAGAAAGAAGGTTGAGTCAGTGAGATGCCACGTAGCTGCCATAGGAGACAGACGCACTGGAACCTTGCCAATAAACCACGAGCCTCATGGTAAAATATAAAATAATAAAAATGTGTTTACTTAAGATGTAAGAGTTAGTCAATAAGAAGCTAGAACTAATAGGCCAAAAGGTGATTAATACAGTTCCTGTGTGATTATTTTTGGGTCTGGGCAGCTAGGAACGATCTACCAGTCTCTTACTACAAAGTACTAAAACATTTTTTAATATTTAAAGTGATAAAGGTCCCAAGAACCTTGATTTGATTGTCCTACATTAAATACATACATGCATACACATACACACACCCACACATACAAAGTTATCAATATTATACCCCATAATTTATATAATTAAAATAGTTGTAACAATTATTAAATAATTATAACTTTAAAATAATAGGTGCATATGTTTATAAATAAATCATAATGTGTAAATAATAGTTTTTAGTTCATATACTTATTTATGTGAGTCTGTGCACATATGTGTGTAGGGGTACACAAACCTGGGGGTTATATTTCCTTGGCAAGAAGCCAGCAAATACCACCTGGTCTCTTAAGTCTGACCTCCATGAATCTGGGGTGACAGACCTGCCTGGGATGCCTGGCTTGTTATGTGGGTGTTGGAATCGGAACTCCAGTTTTCATGACTCTTCGTCAAGTCCCTTTACCATGATGTCACCTCTGCAGGCCATGAAACAAACGTCTTTTAAGGTAAAAACTAAAAGCCACATAGGGAACCAAGTGAACACAGTTGGATCTCAGTAGTTAGGCAGTAGATGTGAGGGTGAGAGGGGGTTCGCAAGGCCTGCTGTGGGCAGCCCGGAGTCTCAGAGTACTAGTTCACGGGTAGAGAGAGATTTTAATGACATTACTGCATGGGTTTCAAAGAGTGAGGAGGAAAAAGTTTGCAAGTGAGATTGGAATAAAGACATGGGCAGAGATGGAGGACGCCAGGACCCTAACACCAGCTCACAAAAGGCCCCAAGGCATCACTTCCAAGGTGTGTTCCAGGGAGATGGTCTCTGAAATGAGCTCCAGATCCAGGCATGCTTAGGCTCCCCTCAACGAGGAATACTATGTTCACTTGCGGAGGCTGGAAGATGGTCCAAGTAGCCTTTAAAAACACGCACATTTTGAGGTGAGTATTCTCTAATCTCATATGATCACAGAAACTTCTTACCACATCAGTTAGGAATAGACATAGGTGTGGTGGGAACATAGGTCTATGGGACTGACTGAAGCTGTGCAAAGGTATCTGGAACATCCTGCCAGCTGAGGTCTGGCCTGAGAGTTTCAGGATGTGAAGAATACAGCAGACAGACTCCTGCGGCAGGGCTGGGCCCCTCAGAAGAGATACGTGCCCAGGAACCCTAACTGGCCAGGGAGGTAGTCCTAAAGTAACTGAATCATGGGGGGTAGGGAGGCAGAGCAGTGCAAGTCAAAACATGGGCATGTGGGAGAGAAGAAATAAATGAAGGAAGGCAGAGGAGCCTGCTGGGGAATCTTTTTCTGATGCACAGTTGTTATCCCTTATCCACAATTTTATTTTTCATGGGTAGTTACCTGCAGCCAATGCTGGTGTAAAATATTCTACAGTGAGCTGAGAAACTAATTGGAAAGAAAAAGAGACTGTGTTCACAACACTTTGTGACTGTGTTGCTTTATGATTAGCTTTTTTTGTTGCTCTCTCACTGTACCAATTCATAAATTAAATCTGATCATAAGTAGGAAAAATCAGAGTGCATAGGGTTTGGTACTACCTGCAGGGTCAGGGGTCCCTGGGAATCTTGGAACAGATCCCCAAAGGACAGGCAGGATACTGAGCTGCACCTGGAAAGGACGTGTTGAAGAAAGAATTCTTCCAGGACTCTGGGCTCATGTAGCTTTGAAGGATTAAGAGATGTTTTTGAGTCTCCCACATCCCAAGGTCTGTGCTTCTGTGCCGCACAACTCCTTGGGAACCTGTGAGCTAGCTTTTCCAGAGGCTTCTACAGAGTCGCACATGGTGCCCCCTCACCTGGAGCCTACCGTCCAGCAGCACCCTCCTCACCTCCCCCATGTGTATCCAGGGTCTAGATGGTCCTCCTTCTGTCTCAGAACCATCAGCTCCACACACCTGTGGACTTGTCCTGACTCTCTTCTTGACTTTACACACACACACACACACACACACACACACACACACACACACACACCTATTATAAAACTTCTCAAACTGCTTGGAAATTCATTTGCCACAAACTGATCTCTGTAAATGCAGAAGGCCTGGATCTTATTCATCCTTCTGTTCCCAGCGGTGTGCTTGATGCTCGGCAATTGCTGGCTGAAGGCCAGAACTGCTCCTGAGGGTAAACCCACGTCCCTGGTGTCCAAACGATGCCCAAGAACATTCAACCCGTTTGTATGATTTCCGCACATTTACTTTTTAATTTGAGAAGTTTGAATGTTTAAGCTCCTACCTCCCCTGGGGGGGGGGGGGGGGGGGGGCTGCTTTAAGGACCATGTAAGCAAAGCTCCACATACCAGATAGAGAAAAAGACAGAGAAGCACAGTCCTGTCACCCAGAACTGAGGGAAAGCAGTCTCCAGAGCTCCGTCGTGTTACCTGTCACACACAATCTCCCAGGTGGAGAATCTTGAGTTCTGACTGATCAGCGTTGGATCATCTTGTCTTGCTGCTCCGAACAGCTCGTCTGTGCAAACGTCACACTCCGTCTTTCCGGTTGCAAAGTTCCAGTAGGGCAAAGCGAAGGACTCATTGCCGATGAGTCTCTGAAAGTGGAGGTAGGTCCCGTCACTCTGTGTATATGCCACATACGACGCAGAGGTGCATAAGGCAATGGCTGGCATGTTTCTTGGCCAATTGTATAGCAAAACCAGAAATACCAATCAAATGGGTCTTTTAAAAGTCAGTATACAAAAACATGTTCGTATATGTCCACATGAATGCATAAATGTCTCATATGCATTTGTGCATATGCGTAGATAAGCACAAGGCAACTGTTCTGATTCAGTGCAGAAGATCCCACCATTTGCAACAAAGTAGACAAACCTTGAGGACATTACGCTAAGCGCTAAGCGAAACAAACCAGATTTTAAAAAGAAAAAAAGGAAAATGCTGTAACATTTGAAATGTAACATCTGAAAGAGAAAGAATATCAAATGCGTATAAGTAGGGAGAACTGGGAAGATGAAACAGTCCAGAACTGTAATTTCAACAGGAGGGAAAATTCACAACATCTTCACACATAGCTAATTTGTCAAGAGAAAACACTTAGATACTCAACACACAGAAAGGAAAGCCATCTGAAATGCTGAGCATATTACTTTCCTCGACTAGTTACCACCGAAATAAGTGTATCAAACATCGCGTATTCCTCAAAGGCAAACACTGTTTAGATGATGCATGCAGGGTTTTCACCAACCTGGAGATCTCTTTCCAGCCACAACAAATGGTATCTGTGCCAGGTTACAAACGCAGGTCCTTGGTGTGAGAAATCTATGGCCTTATAGGGGCGTCCTGGTCCTAACACAGTTGGGAAACAGATATCAGAGAACAGAATATATGAGATTTTAACCTTATCAGGAGTGTGCCTGTGTCCAAGAAGTCCACAGTGCCTTAATTTAAAAACTATTTGTCTATTAAAAAGGCAGCAGTAAGAAGAATGATAAAAAGAGTTCCAAAGGCAATCTGCATTGCACAAAGGAGTCTCTTCCATTTCTCCAAGGTTTAATTTTTTAGCAGAGAACCCAGAAACTCAAGTCATTTTCAGTAGTCAGTGTCCTGTTACATAGTTCAATTTTTCCACAGTAATGCATGAACATAAAATGCTGTCTAAATGTGTGGATCATTAAGACCTAAATGAAATATATTTTAAAGATATTTTCTGATTTGCTTAAATTTATAACAGAGATATTACTTAGTAATGAAGCAACGGCGACCATGTTAATGCAGCATTTGTACAACCAAAAGAAACCTTCAGGAATTCTGCCTCACCCATCAATCAGTGAGAACCAGCAGCTGACAAGCGTGGTCACTGAGACCAGAAGACTATGCTGGAACCAATTTAGCTGGCTACTGGAACTGCCAATTTTAGTGAGGCACTGTGGGCAATTTAACGCCCTTCTTGGTGCCTGCTCCATCCTTCTTCTGCCTTCCACAGCAGCTTCTGATGACACGCAGAAGCCTCAGCTCTCTTTAGTTCTTTCAAAGCACCTGTAATAACTTCAGAGAGCTGAGCGGACATGAATATAAACTGAGTCCCTAGACAGGACCAGAAGCCACAGTTTTCCTTTCCTCCTGAGAGGCTACCCTCTCATAAAGCAAAAATTCCTCAGAGTAATGATGGGAAAGCGATAAAGGCTCATAGCCAGAGGAGCCCCGTCATCTGTCGACGAAGGAAGATGGATGCTCAGCTGCGAGGCAGGCTTTAACAACGCTCTCACTAAAAACAGGCTCCTGCTGCTGCTGTTGGCCACGGAGCCTTCTTAATAAATGGGTTTTTGGACTAAAGAAAAGTTTCAAGTTTTCTACACAGAATTATGAGAGGGACAGCAAAGGATGGGGACCAGTAACGAGCAAGAAAGAGACGCCAAGGGAGAACTGCACCAGCCCAAGTGCGCTCGGGGACTGCGTCGACCCTCTCCCCAGGGGAGCGGGGGACCAAGAAGGAGGGACAGCAGCAGAGATACCAAGTGTACAGGCTACTCTGCGAAGTTGTGAGAAGAATCTAGAACGGATTTGAACTCTCCAGAAACAAACCAATGGCTTCTCCCGAGTCAGTCTGTCACAGGGGATGAAGCTGCGGCTGTTTGATTAGTGACATTGCGTAACCGTCAACCTCCTGTGCCCCACGGGACCCCCAAGGTTTAGGTTCCGGGGCAGGGGAGTCATCAATATTTCATAAGCGTTACTGTTGTGGAGGCGGAGGAACACGTGTACAGTAGATAGTGCACGCTTGTGTGGGTGTCCAAGGACAACTCTGTGGACTCCGAGGAGCCTCCGAGCATTTTGGAATAGCAATGCTTAGCCTTGTGGATGAGTATGCCTCTGTTGGATGCTTCAGAAAGCGGTGAGGTGAAAACCATGCTGATGGCCAGTGAGAAAGTAAAGACACTTGCCGAGTGAACCTGAGCCTGACCCATGCAACCCACATCAAGGTAGAAGGAGAGAGCTGAGCTAGGCAGAAGCCACCTGTCCCTACTAGGAAGCAACCTCGAGTAACTTCCAACGGAAAGTCGAAAGACGTGTGGGTTTCAGGAGCCCCACGCTTGTAGCCCAGAGACCGCAGTTCTGAACAGGGAAACGCTGCACTCTTGGCATGCGTTCAGTTAATTCTCTCATTTGAAGAAAAGGCCAAGACTGGCTTTTAAGTCAAAGTTGATTTCTTTTTTCTTTTCTGGAATCAAAAGGAATTTGCCTCCACTTTACCAGCTCGCGCCTTTGAGGATTAAGTTTCACAGAGAGCAAGTATTAGGCTTTGAACCAGGAATATAAGCGAGGAGGGGCTTGCGGTGTCTGCGGAACGGGAAGAAACGGCCCCATTTGAACTACGGGCGGTGTTTGGTGATTCTGCCAGTCCAGGGAGTAACCTCGCTTGAGGTTGCTTCCTGTTAATTAACTTGTATCGAATGACTTCCACCCCGTGCCCAACCCAGACACAAGCCTCTAATAACGGAGGTTAAACCTATGGGGAAAACCCACCTAATAACGTGTCTCGAACAGAATAGTAATGGAGCCAGACAAAAAAGTCATACACGCTGCAGTTGGCGACCTGTGGCTGGGTTCCGTTGGGTCCCAGCAGTCCCAGCCAGTGCTGCGTAGTGATCACGTAGTCTGGATGGACAGTTTTCTTCGCCAGGTCTAAGGCGGTCAGGAACTGCTCCCTCTCCTGGGGAGTCAGGGAATGGATATTCTGCCGGAGGGCTCGTGGCTTCCTCTCCTCACAGTTGGGTCCGGTCCAGCCAAACTTGCAGTCTCCACAGTTATAACCAGCGAAGTTTCCTGGTTGGTAAGAAGGGAACAATAGGGAGTGAAGGAGAGGTTATCCACTTTGGAAGAAAGTTCTCAGTTGGAATTCCGGGAAGAACGGAAGAGACGAGATGTTAGGAGGAGCCAAGAAGGGCCCTGACACGTGAAAGAAGAGAAAGCACAGGACAGGGGCCCCTGAGAACCCAGGCCCGATGCTGCTGCCTTGATCTTGGGTTTACAGCCTCTATGACTATATTACTGTACGACAATCATTTTTCATTGTTAAAGCGAAACAGGAGGAAGATCTCATTCCCAGGACCTTAGCATGTGTCTAGTTTTGGAAATCAGGTTTTCAAGATGGCACTTAAGCCAAATGAGGACCCTGGAACATCATCCCCTCACCCAGTATGAATGCTATCTCTGTACACACAGAGGGAGGACCCCGTGAGAACACAGGGAGCTCATCTGGACCTAGGGATCTGAGAATCAGACACCAGCCCTGCTCACACCTTGTTCTCGGGCCTCCACCTCCAGAAGAAATAGAAATGAATTCTGCTCCTTCTGCCACACGGTTTGCAAAGGCTTGTTGTAGCAACCATAGCAAAGGGACTCTCCTGCCCCTTGTGTCCCAGAGCTCTCTCTTCTGACGTCCTCTCTACACTCCAACCTAGCATGACCTCGCTAAGCTTTGCTGTCCAACAGCCCACACCACTGGACCAGCACAGACTGATCCATTGGCTTGACAGTTCCACACACAGGAGACAGAGGCAGGTTGATCTCTGTGAGTCCAAGGCCAGCCTGGTCTACTAGTGAGTTCTAGGACAAGACAGCCAGGTTTGCACTGAGAAATCCTATCTCTAAATAATTATAATAGCAAAGAAGCTGACTTCAGCATTTGGGTGGTATCTAACTCTAAAAATCCTGGTTTATTTCACCAAGGAGACTGTGTTAAGGCAAAAATCAATGGTGCCTGGCAGATCATAAAAGTGAATTACAGACCATGAAGTCAAGAAGTGCAAATCGTTTAGAATTTGCTGTCTGCCACCAAACACCTGTGCTTTGCCATGCTCAGGGAGCAAGAACTAGTGAGCAAGTTCTACGGCGTCTCTGAGGACTGGTGGCCAAGCCCAAATTCTATGCCTGCCTTTGCCTCTTATACCTGTTGGTTTCCTTTGGGCGTAATCAGTGCCTCATTCCTTAGGGAGGGAAAGTTCAGCTATTATTCCCACAAGAAGATAAAGGCGCTTATCTCCAGAACATTAAAATGATTCCGAGCTATAATGCCAACGACCAGGCCCCTGCTCAGCCACAGTCTCTACCTCACGCCCCCGCGATTATTACCTGTTCCTTCTCATGCCTGGAACACTTTCTCTTACCTTCTTCCTAAATCCCTCCCTGCATGAGCTACTCACCCACCGTTTACTGTCGTGATAGATCCTCTCTATACCATGTTCTGCCAGAACTGGCTGAGGAGGTGCGGAACCCAGAGCTTCATACATGCAAGACATTGACCTGCACCCCCCTCAGCCTGGGTCCCAGCAGACGGAAGGACCCGAGTTGAATTCAGCCACTTCCACTCCCCTTTATTCAAGTATTTATTTTTAATCATCAAGGAGACCTGGCTCAGTGGTGGGACTCTTGATTTCTACCCCAGCATCTTTAGGACAAAAAGGGAGAGGAAGAAAAGACATGCCACCCACTGGGGTAACTTTTACAGGGACAGCTTTTTTTTTTTATAAGTGATTGAACAAATTTTATCTCTGACGAACACTTACTATTCAATTGAGTACTCCGTCAAACTTGCAGCTGGTTTTAAAAGTCTACTCCAAAAGTACAAAGTCATCTATGGGATGGCTTCAATGGGAGAGAAACAAGACCAGTGTGGAGCAGGAGGCCAACAGCGGTGGACAGGGGGATGTACAAAGGCAAAGGATATATGTGCCTTTTGCTCTTGATGTGTGTGTGTTGTTGTTGTGTCCCATGTCTATGTGAGTCTGTGTACATGTGTGTATGTGTGCATGCCATAGGTCATCATCAACTGTCTTCTATATCTCTCACTGTTTCTGTGAAACACTCTCTCACTAATCCTGGGGCTCACCAATTCAGCTAGGCTGTCTGTCTGGCCAACAGGCTCCAGGAAGTCATCTGTCTCTACCTCCAGCGCTGGAGTTACAAGCACACATGGAGAGCAGGAGAGCTGGTTCAGAGGACCCAGGGTGAATTCCAAGCCTGCACATGGTGGTTCACAGCTGTCAGCAACTCCTGTTCCAAGGGATCTGATGCCCTCTTCTGGCTTCTGCCATCTTCCGGGCACCAGGCATGCACACACCTGGTACATAGATATACGTGCAAGCAAATGCTTGTAGACACTAAATAAAAATAAATAAATACTTGTAAAAATAATGAAGTCTTTTAAGGAGGAGACCGGAGGGAAATGGAAGGCAGTAAGTTGGATTGTCTGAAGGCACTGTCTCGCCCGTCATGCTTACTGGACCTTAATGATAGACCTATAGTCCCAGAAACCCAAGTGGTAGGCACTAGGAACAAAATCTGAAAGGCTGATAGTCGGCATTGTGTTATCTGAAATCAAACACTCTCTTTCATAAAAATAAGTCAATAAAGTCATAACAGAAGGTCAACAAAGTTCTGAACCTCTCTGAGCTTGCCATATCAAAATAAGGGTTCTGCTCCACAGAGTTCTTGTGAAAATAAGTGTGTTGGTATAGGGCACAGGGAACAGTGTCCGGGGCACAACAAGCTCCACGCTACTGTTCAGTCTTCCAATGGCAGCGCGATGGCTACTTCACTTATCCCTCTCGTGCGCCCTTGAACATTACATCATTTCTCCCTTTCTGCACAAAACGGGATTAACACAGCTCTAAATAAATGTCATTTAGTGAGCGATGAGAGGAACACTGGAAATTGGGGAAGGGGCATTTTTTAAGCATTGGGGAATACAAACATAAGCAAGGCACCGTTGTAGAGGAAATGGGGGACGCAGGCACCAACACCACTGTAACTGTAGGAGAGGTAAAAATGGGAAGAACCCGAGGTTTGGGATCTGACAAAAGACAAGACCAGCATTCCTGGCTTAGAAGACAGCACTGCTTCACAGCTGAGAGGAACACAAAATTGTAATGGAAGCGAGTCACACACACACACACACACACACACACACACACACACACGGAGTTAACCACTCACCAGAATGTACTTGCTACTTGTGTATAATCCAGAAGCTTACTCAGTTAGAAAATTCCTTTTCTACATGTACATTGGGTCCCTGGGTCCCTTCTACTTTTAGCTTACAGACCTACCTGGTCTGTAGAATTTGTCAAAAGACTAGAAACAACTAGAAAATGTAATGTGTCAGCTTGGCACGCATGCTGCGTATTGTTTTTTCTTTTTATTTTCTGGTTGTATCTTGCACCAGGCTAATACGAGTTACTCCTCTCCTTCATGGGTCAGTGGTAAGAAGTGCAAGACAAACATATTTTTAAAAAAAACCTTACATTTTGTTGTTGCTGCTGTTGTTGGGAAACAGGGAAGGAGAGAGGAAGACTCTATCTCACACTGAGTGTGTTCTTGAGCAAAAAATCAATTTCAAGAGTTAAAATTCTCCCCTAACTTAAAACTAGGATGAAGAGAGAGAAAACAGCTCCACACCACATGTCCCTACATGCACTGCGCGGCCCAAACTCAAAACGCTATTAGACTAACTAAGCTTAACGACCACCGATTAGCGAGTTTACAAGGAAGTCTAAATAGCCTACTCCTTTTAATTAGAGATTCTATTATTTTAATAACAATACTTTATACTCACAGAGTTTCTTTCATCTGCAGAACTCAAAAAGGCTTTACAAGTGTGGTTTCATCATTATCCCCATTTCAGAGATTGGAAAATGAGGCACTTAGTCACTTGTACAAACAAGACGTTCTCAGCCAACTGTGCACAAACTATGTGGTGCCCAAGGATTTCAAAAGCCCAAAGGTACAGCTGCAACTGGCGTCTGCTCATAAATGCTAACTGTCAGGTGAGCCCCCGAATGTGGTGGCCAACACCCGAGCCTCCCGACTTTACAACTAATTCCTGACAATTGCATTCAGTACTTTTTCCCCAGTTTATCCCAATAGAGAAGAGAAAAATGATTTATCACAATGTAGAATAAAGAAATGCTCTATAGAAAATTGGGGCACAGAATTTGCTTATTCTAGTTTAGTTTTTTTTTTAAGTTTTCCTTTATGGGGCCTATAGTAGAAAGCTAGGAATCATTATTTTCTCAACAAATCAGCAAGTGCAAAGGTCACCAGCACTCTGGTGGCCAGATGCTAATTTCCATCTCTGCCTTAGAAACTTCGGGGTGACCAGGAGAGTCCCAGGTGCTCTGTTTGCAAGATATTTTGAGGGCTCCCAGAGCCAGGGGCCTTTGGGAGGCTAAAAGTCAGACACAAATTCCACAGAGTACCTGAAAACTATGAAAACACTACTTAATGAAGGTAAATCGCTCACTCTTTAAGGAGGAAGAAAAAGGTCACGTGTTTGTCTTTGAAACTTTGACGTGTCACAGAATGGTGAAAACTACGACACAAGCGGGTTTCCGTTGCAAGTCTCTACGACTTGGTCCTGTATCTCAAGACTCCGGGAAACAGACCATCCAGCCAAGAAAAGTGGAGCCGAGGGGGACTGAGCATGTAGAGCATGGAGCTCAGTGGGAGAATGTCTGCTTAGCGTGGGTAAGCCCCCGCTGGGTTCAGGTTCCAGAATTTCAAAAGGAAAGCTTTTGTTAAGTTGAGAAAAGGAGAAGGAAGAGGCGGTGGGTCCATCATCTTCCTCTTATAACCTGTGGACCGACCTGAAAGACACTGTGTTCAGTGAAACAAATCCCCCACTGTCCAATAATGCCTGGCCCCTCCTAACAGAGGCATCTGAAGTGGGCAGCAAACAGAAGGGACGGTTAGCAGGGACCAGGGCGGAGGAGGAAACACAGCAGCTCCTGGTAAGGAGCACAGAGGCAGAGTAGCACACGGTGACTAAGCTTTGGATATCCACTCTATGTTCAGCATGGTTCAATATGAGATACTGTACGTGTAAGAATGCGCTGCCAGGCTAAAACGCATGTTAAGTCTTCCTGCAAAGCCACAAAGTCAAGAAAGGCAAGGAAACTTCTTGGTGGTGGCGGACGTGTTCATTACCTTAATGTAAGAGAAACAGAAAAGTGAGGCTATACTTATTAAATTGCGCATATAGATTGTGTGCAGAACATTCTGTAACAATTGTGCTTTTTCAGTCTTTATTTATGTATGCATCTGGGTGTTTGTCTGGTTGTACATCTGCACACCAGAAGAGGGCATCAGATCCCATGGAAAGAGTTATAGATGGCTGTGAGCCATGTGGGTGTGAGACTTGAACTCAGGGCCTCTGGTAGAGCATCCCGTGCTCTTAACCACTGGGCCATCTCTTCTGCCCCCAGCAACTACACTTCCTAAAGCTGGATAAAGGGAATAATTTAGCAAACTAAACATTACGAGCAGCAGCTCTTAAGCTGTCTTAACAGATGTGTGCATGCAGCAGAGAAGGAACAGTGGTCTTGAGTGAGCTGCGGGCAAAAGAGCCATGGGAAAGAGGCGAACACAGGCAGAGGAAGGGCCCTCGAGGGTGGTTATGGGTGATCAGTGCGGGGACTTGGAGACTCAGCGCCGTGAGGAAGCCCTGCTTCCTGGAGTTGGCCTCTGGAAATGGGTTGTCTTTCCATGTGAAAGGGTGTCCCTCTGACTCTTCTGATCAATAATCAAACACTTCCTCAACAAAGAGACGCAACAAGCCTGCCTTCTATTCTGCTATGCCCGGCCATTTTCACTTCCGCTTCCTAAAAGCGAGTGTGCTTGTGCTGAGTGGAAACTACGCAGGTGGGGTAAGATGAGCTAACTGCTTTATCTGACCCACTAGAGCATTCTGCTCCTCTACCAAAGAGATCCTCAGCTTTTGGAAGACAGGAGTTTGCCATCTATTGACATGGAAATCATTGCCATAAAAGGCTCTGAAGGGTTGGAGCCAAGGTTACCCGTGTTAGTGTGGTTTCAAATACCACCAGCGTGGAATCCAGGGTCCCCCCCCCCCCACAGGACTGAAAACCTACGAAGCAATGTCTATGAAAACAAATGCTTTACTGGCTCAAAAACGGATAACACATATTCAATATGCAATCACAACTTTAGTCACCATTGATATGCAGAGCAAAACCAGGACCTGGAAAATCCTTTGACTCTATTACAAGGACTGGGGACACAGTTACTGTTAGAGCCCTTGCCTGGCATAAGCATGGTCCTAGGTCCAGTCTTTTGGGGCTTCTGACATGATGGCAAATGCATCACAACGAAATTATCAGGGCAGAACTTTCTAAGGTCTTGCACCTTCCCTTTCTGATAGCATTTCAGACCCTGACACAGCTGGACCCTGTGTTTCAGCAGCACATGGGAAGGCAGAAACACACCGGAAGGGAGGGCGGCATGCAGCTGGCCACTGAGGGACAATATCCGGGGGCTGTGGTGGAGGGGCTGCTCGTCCTCCCAGACACTGAATGCTCATCACAATGGTTTCTGGAAACCAGAAGGAGTGGGATAGAGGAAGAGTGAAGAAGCCCAGAAAGGCAGAGAAAATGTAGATTTCAAACAAACAGGTATTGGGGGATACAGGATTGCACGGGAAGGACAGTGAGCAGGTCTGGTAGCGGCCAGGGTGGAGCTCAGACAACGGACGGAAGCTGCTGAACCCACACAGCACTTCACTGAGGAAACTGCTTTGCTCCATCTCCCCAACTTTGGCCAAGTTACAGTCCAGTCCTGGCTTGAACAGGGCAGCAGGACAGTTAGTGGTCTCTTCAAATCATGAGAAACGCTGAGGCCAGGACTAGGCAGCACCTGCCTCCTCCTACCGCTGGCTGCCAAGCCGCACCCAACGCCCCAGCAAGTGTGAACCCATTGCAGGAGAGGCCCCAAACCATCTTGAAAGGACTTGTTCTTGTTTCAAAAGTAGGCTCCCCATCTCTACAGCCTCCCCTCCCAACAGACAAGCCAAAGCTATGTTGGCACATGTTCAGAAATCCAGGTTTGGCCCACAGAGTGTTGATTTAGTTTTCCTAAGTACATGTACACGAAGTGGAAGATGCACCCAGTCCATCAATCAGCCTTACTGACTAGACACCAGTCTCATCTCTGCCTCTGGAGGGCTCACTTTCCCTGTGAGGATTCTCCACCGAGGTCAGATTCCGAGGGAAGCAGCATCTACCCAAGGGCCTCACCTGCACACTTGCATGTCCGGTTGAAGAATTTTCTTGGCCATTGTTCACGGTCATCCTGGTTCCGGAAGATGTAAGGGCCACTCCAGGGCCTGGTGTCTGTCTGCACCTCTGTGCACTGCCCACGGCCTTCCAGAAATCCACAGATGTTGGACAGCTCGGGGCCCAGGGGTGGGCAACACTCTTTGTTCAGCACCCCTTCCAAGGTCATGCAGACCCGGGGAAACTGAGCCCGAACTCGCAGCAGAATTCCGCACCCCAGGCAAGCCAGCAGAAGCCCCCATTGCACAAGGCCCATGCCTTCGTAATTGGGAGACCTGAGCAGGCGTCCCGCCTCTGTTCTGCCTGGCTTTGCCTCTTGCCTTCGCTCACTCAAATCCTTCCCTTCCCTTCCCTTCCCTTTTCTTTTCTTTTTTCTTGTTTGTTTTTCAGTTCCAGCCCTTTCCTCTCCCTCTCAAAATTCCCACCTAAATCGCAGAACCTGCACGTGTGCACATGGGTACACGCCCGTGCACATTTGTGTGACTCAGACAGCTAACGCAAATTTAATTTCGGCAGAAGCTCCTCCACCATCAGATTTAATGAGGGAAACGCTTCTCGCCAGCCCTCCCCGTTAAATCAGGCCCCGTCTAATTGAGTTAATTTACAGAGCGCTCCAGCCATACTGCTTATTATGCTCCTGTTCCTAAGCCCCCTTCTTCTCCCCTCAGCCCTTGACTTTAATTGCCTTGAACTCAGTTCAAAAGCCAAGCACCGTGCTGCCTTTATTCTCTCTGCCTCGCCAAACCACGGGGCTCGGTGGGGTTGGGGGAGAGGCTGGGAGAAGCCATCATTAGAGGGATTATAACTAGAGAAATCCTCTTTGTTAGCACATGACCCTAGGTACACAATGAAGCTGATAAAGTGTCTGGCTTTGTGTCAGGAGGGCAAAGCCAGCCTCTTTATTGGGCTCATGTGCCCCAGCCAAGCTTGTGACCTCAGAATGCCAGTGTGTCAATAGACGCAGTGAGCATTCCGTCAAAGGCCCCTTACGGACCTGCACAACGGCTGAGTGCAGCTCCCCTCATGACTGCCTACTGACGTGGGAGAGAGGCCCACAAGAGATCATGCAGCCCCTGGAATAAAGAAACGTTTATCTAAGGCAGTGTACAAGGAACTGCTTTGTTGTGCAATTAGGAATCCTCTTGCCTCCAGATAATAACCTCCTCTTCTCTTGCCTAGCTCATCCAGGCAGCAGGTTTTGATTTGCATGGGAGAGTACGGTACCGGCGATTCACAATGACCATCTTGCTGTAAGGACGGCAATGGGACAAGTCAGAGTGAGGTTTGCAAGGAAATCTTTTGATTGCATTAAAGTTTGGCATAATCAAGCTTAAGTCTAGGAAGCAATGATCCTGCATGCTTCTTCTGGGGGAGCTTGTGAGCGTGCAGATGGGCAGTGGTGGCCATTGTCAGAGCGTTTGCTCCTTCGTGGCGGGAACAGGACTGTCTTGGTGCTGGGAGATTTAGACAAACTGCTGAAATTGCTCCTGCTGGAGTCTGAGAATATCTTCTACATGGACATAAGGCACCTAGTATTAAATTTCTAAGGAATTAAGAATTGCCTGCATAGTGGCCCATGAGTTTAAGCCCAGCATTCAGAATGTAGAGGCAGGTGGGTCTGTGTGAGTTCAAGGCCACCCTTGTCTGCCTGTGAGTGTCAGGATGGCCATAGCTATGCAGAGAGACAGAAGAAGAAGAAAAGAAACACAGATTTCCCTCTGCATGCATTCTGTTCTACCCCCGTGGTACTAAGCTGTGACTAACTCAATGGCAGTTTGTACCTCTGGGTTCTCGACCTTGAGTCAGACTCTTGATACTATCACGGGGCATAAGGGGTGTCTGTGTGCGTGAGTGTGTCTGTGTGCGTGAGTGAGTGTGTGTGTGTGTGTGTACATAAGTCTGCATGCAGGTGTGTGCTCTCACAGTACACATGCTTTGGCAGGCATGCATGTATACATGTTTGCATGTGCAAGCAGAGACCAAAGATGAACACAAAGCGTTTTCCCCTGTCACTTCCCACTTGCTGTTTGAGACGGAGTCCCCAGTGAACCATTTGGTAGAGCAGCTGATGAGGAGGTTTCAGGGATCTGCCTCTTTCTGCCCCCAGCACTGGGACTGCAGGGCTGCGCCGCCATTCCTGCTTTCTTCATGGATGCTGGGGATTTGAACTCTCGTCACCAGGCAAACACAGCAGGCACGCTCCTGACTGATCATTTTCCCAGGCTCACATGGGCATTGCTGAGACTCCTCCTGGTTCTGCTGCACAGCCAGCGTGTGGCAAGAGAGTGAGAGAATAAACTCGAGCCCCAGGTGGAGGCTTGCAGTGGCGTCAGCGGAGACCAGGTATATATATATATATATATATATATATATATATATATATATATATATTCCTTTCTTACGCCATTGGAGCCGATTTCCACAAACTAGGGAGTGTCCACAAGAGACATTTGTTCTCTCACAGTTCTGGGGACCCAGGGTCTGAAATCCAGGCAAGGATAGCACATATCAACCATCTGCAATCCTGTGGTAACCCTGCCCCTTCCAGCTGCTGGCAGTCCTTGGTGTCTGCCTCTGACTTGAGTGTACCTACTCAACTCCTGACATGGTCAGCAAGCATTTTCCTTTTTTATTTCTGCACCTGCCCTGAGTCTATCTCTTCCAAGGAAACCAGTCGTGGGATATTGAGCCAACTGGGATAGTCCAGGATGCTCCCAGCTTGAGATGATTATACCTACAAAAAGTTTTTTTCAAACTGGATCACATTTGCAGGGTCTGAGATTTGCGTCTTTTGGAGGGTGATAAGTCAACCCAGGACACCACTGACAGAAAGAAACTTAAGTATACTAGAATCATCATGCCTAAGAGTTGGAAAGGACCAAAGACTTTCTGGACCCTATTATGCCATCTGTCTGTCTACTGATGTCCACTCCAGGCCAGCACTGGGAGCCTGGGGATTTTAGTTTGAGTTGTGAGCAGTGGTGATGTTCTGTAGATGTCAGAATCTTCATTTCCGGTCTCAGACTGTCCCGTCTCCTTTTCATTGCAGCCCCTGTAATCTGACAGCCCAGAGTCACTTTCCTGGCCCTGGTCAGAACTGTGAACCTCAGACCCAACTGTAGTAATAGGGCGGCGGGGCTGCGTCCCCAGCACCCCGGCCGCCTGACTAGCTTATACCCCGAAATAATTACACGGAAACTGTATTCTTTTAAACACTGCTTGGCCCATTTCTATCTAGCCTCTTCTCGGCTAACTCTCATACCTGGACTAGCCCATTTCTAATGTAGCCCACGAGGTGGCTTACCAGGGAGATTCTAGCCTATGTCCATCCTAAGTTGGAGCTTCATCGTGTGTGCCTCAGAGAACAGAGCTCTCATGTCCGCCCTGGAGAGGGGAGCATGGTGTCTCTGCCTGAGGCATCTTACCTCACTTCCTCTTCCTCCCAGCATTCTGTTCTGTTTACTCCACCCACCTATGTTCTAAGCTATGAGCCCAAGCAGTTTGTTTATTACTTAACCAATGAAATCAACAGATTGATATGACACTCCCACATCACTTCCCCTTTTTCTGTTTAAACAAAAAAAAAGGCTTTAACTTTAACATAGCAAAATTACATATAACAAACAGTTATCAAGTAAAAGTTACAATATTTACATCTATTTTATCTTTTTTCATAATTAAGGAAAACTATAACTATCTATATATTCTTTAACTCCATCAAAGACTCCAGAAGGATATAATATTACCTAAGCAAACAAGAAATAAGCAACTTTCAAACTCTAGAAATGACAGAGACATTTTACTGCCTGGACAGTCACCCAAAGTTCCTCTGTACCATTGGGGCATCCATCTTCAGCCTACAGGCCCATGGCATCCAGAGACATTTCCTTGAAGCAGGACATTTCAAAGTCAGTTCAGTCACTATCTGTTGTGTCCTGAAGAATGTCTTGCAGACTCTTTCATGAATCAGGAACCCCGAAAGATCATCTCACCTTTAGGCAAGTTCAGTAGTCCTCTCTCTGCGGGTTCTCTGTGTCCAGTTTATGCAATAGTCCAGGCAAGAACAGTTACTTGCCCAAATGGCTATCAAACTCTATAACGATCCTCTTCGATGCCCATCTTCCTCTCGAAGTAGATTGATGCTGCCAGGAGCAGACGTGTCTCATTGTCATGAAAAGCCCTAAATTATTAAAACATTTAAAATGCCATATTCTATAATCTTTGAAAAATATGAAGAATGCCTATCTAAAATATATCTATGTACATCTAGAAAATCTTAACTAACATGACTACAAACTTGACTATTATGATTATCTATTAACAATCTATATTTTTAATTATACATTACATTTTTAAATGAACTACACAATAACAGTACCTTAATCAAGATCAGAAACACGTATACATATAACAAAATTGACCTTAAATTTAAATCACTAAAACAAAATCCATATCAATGTAAATTATTCATATCTCTATCATATCCCCCTTTAAATGTAAAAGAACAATTATAAACCATATTTGGGAACATGGGCGCAGTTTTTTCTCTCCAAACTGCTTCCTGCTGAATGGGGGCGTCATTAATTAGGACTTTCATGGTATAACCTGTGTGCTAGTTTCATCTCAGTTGGCAGTTGAGCGAAGCAATTTTCTGAAGATGTTCACAGCAACCCTTCAGGAGGACGTCATCATACCATATCGGAATAGAAGAAATGAATAGGGTCTCATCCTCTGTGAAAACAATATAAGAAACTCCTTTCCAAAGCATCATGTCCTTAGATCCAAATTTCAAATTCAAGGCATTTTCAAAATATCTATGTTGGATTAGTTCAGCAGCATTTATAAACAAATATCTTTTGGCATCTATTGCTCCTTCCTCAGCATTCAAACAATTCAAAGAGAGCATAATAGCATACAGTATCAAAATTGTCTGTCTATTTTCCATCTTTGTACAGCTTTGTTTTAACCTCTATTTCGTTTATTTTTACTTTTAACTTTTTGCTTTTTGAGACAGGTTCTCTGTATCTTTGACCTAGAATAACTCTGTAGACCAGGCTGTCCTTGAACTCTCAGAGATCCACCTGTCTCTGCCTTCCAGGCATTGGGATTAAAGGTGTACACTACTACACCTTGAACTCACAGAGATCTGTTTGTCTCTGCCTTCTAGGCACTGGGATTAAAGGCCTGTGCTACCACACCTTGAAGTCACAGAGGTCAATCTCCCTCTGCCTCCCAAGTGTTGGGATTAAAGGTGTGTACTACCACACCCAACTTCACTCTTTCTTCCTTATTTTTGTTTTTTACTTTAAGAATTTTAACTTTTAGTCTGCATATATTTTAACACTGTAAATCATTTAAAATTTTTCTTTGTCTTTGATGCTCTCTTTACTGTATCTCTGTTTTTCTGACCACATGAGTCTTTAATGTACCAAGCAATATCAGTAGGACTAAAGCCGTGGCTTTGCCAGCTAGATGTAGCCCATTCCTTAGCTTTCCAGCCTCATGGCTGAGGTACTGGCTGTAGCCATGTTTATAGCCACAACTCTATGGCGTTTCAAGGTCCCTGCCAGCCAGCGAGCTACAACAGACAACACTCAAGTCCTCTCTCTGTAGCCGGCCCTCCTGCCTCAAACAGTCAGAGTTTGCCCTGGCAGGATGGCCCAGAAAGCCAGCATTTTTAAACGGTGCAGCTTTTTTCCTGCTACGGCTGAAAACCGAAAAGCATGCGTTCAGCTTTTCATCA